CCGGGGGCGGCGCCGGTGTCCTACGGGGGGATGCTCGTCTGCAGCCTCTGCAGCTCGGGAAGGTCGCCCTGGGCTGGGGCGGAGCGGGTCCTGCCCCTCTCCCCCCGCAGCTGCCAGCCCCTTCCTCCTGCCGCGTGTCCGCTCCCCTCTTGCATCCGCCTGCTCTCAGCTGCCCCTGGGGACTGGGATTTGCACCCCGAAGGACCGGCTGTCACGGCCTTTGGGCCCCTTTCACCTCCCTGCCTGCCAGCTTCGTGCTGCGCCGAGTTCCCAGTGGGCCCGTCTACACGAGCTGCTCGACTCCGGTTGAGAGCCAACGACTGCGCAGTAAGAGTCGCCGTCTACGCTGGTGGACGCCGCGCTGTCCTTTGCTTTCGTCCCGAGTAGTTTTGCTACCTAGAAATGCAAGTAGCAAAATTACTCTCGGTTACATACCGCACAGTAGAGCACGTGTACATGGCCAACGGGGAGCAAATGTGCTCCGGGCAGCAGGGCCTGGGAGATTGCTCTCTGCTCTCACACGCCGGCATGGAGCCCATGTCCCCCTGCCCTGCAACGGGGAGCTCCCAGGCCCTGCTCTGTGGTCGCAATGGGACATCGGGCCTGGGAGGTTGTTATCTCCGAGCCCTGCTGTACCACAGCCCTCTCCCAGCAATGCCCAGTGACCTGGGAGCTGGCACTGGGGGATAAGGATCTGTCAGCACCAGCCCTGGGAGCTCCCTGCTGCTGGGGCGAGGGCTGTTGTCCATGCCTGAGCTCCAGTGGCAGAGCCTGTCCTGGCAGCAGGCAAGAGGAGGCAAAAGATGTCTTCTGGCCCTGTGCTTCCCACCAGCCCCTGGGCTAGCACCCAAGGGGAGCCTAGAGCTCCCTCGGTTGCTGCAGGAGCCTGATGCAGGGCCGCAGGGAGCGGGAGCAGCAAATCTGCCCCTGTATCTCTGCACGTGTAGACACATGCCCAGGACAATTTACTCTAAAGTAATCTGATGCCACATTATTTGCATGTAGCATGGGCATGTAGACATGCCCAGTCATTAATAAATCCCTAGTGACTTTTTCTTTGCCATTTAGTATTTTGTAAACTCTTCTCGTGTGCCCCCCCACCATCAAGTGGCTCTTTTCTAAATTGAATCAGCCTCACCTCTTTAGTTTCTCCTCATATGGAAACCCCTCCACGATGCTAATTATCCTTGTTGCCCTTCTCTGGAAGCCTTAGAGGCCTTGAATCTCCCACAATCTGAGCCTGAGGAGACAAACAGACCGGTTGACTAAATTTATTGCACGAGTTACCAGTTAATTGTGTGATCATTACTTTGCACCTGTGAGCCAGTCTAAATGTACTATGTGCTTCACCAGTTGTGTGATAACTACTGTTTACTTGTGCAATTCACCAGAAATTTTGCAATATTTGTAACATGAGAACAAGGATATGCAAAAGCCAAACACAGAATTTCCCCTGCCCCGGGCTCATCAGCTGATAAAACAAGTATCCTACATCGCTGGCCCAGCCATAGGAGTATGGATAGGTTTTGAAGAGTTTGTGAGGAGGCATTCATTTCTCATGTTCAAATGCTTAAAAAAATGTTCTAGTCAAAGGATACAGCAGTTATGTGGCATCGACTGGTGCTCGTCTGCACTGGTGCTTCCACCATTTTCCATTCATTACTAATCACAGTTATTGCAATAGCGCCTAAGGACCTACTGAAAAAGACATCTCATGTTAAGAGCACGAGAAAGTAGACCATAAACACTGCACTGGGGCAAACTACAGGTCTGTCTAGCCTGGTGTCTTATGGCTCAGCTTGGCGCGGTATCTGACGGGCCTGTCTTAACTGTGGTCTTTGTCCTTTCTCTCACTGTACAAATGCAGAGGAGCAGACAGATCCTGGCCTAAAAAACTTTAGATAGACTAAACGGACCTACTTATGGACAGTAGCTAATGTCTTTTTAAGTGTTCAAAACACAACCCAAACAGCACAGGTGAAGGGTAAAAATCAAGTCTTAATGATGTACAAGTATCTATCAAATGAAGACAGTCAGCACATGATAGGTATATCCAGTAACAATGGATTAGCACATTAGGTGAATGTTCCTGATAAGAGGATCAGAAGTGAAATGCTTAAGTATAAGCATTTAAATGCAACCTGATGGAAAGACTGTATTCATGCTGCTCTTAGTGGCTGTTGTTTCACTGTGTCTGCAGATTCAAAATGTGCATAGTTTAACATTTTGAAGGTTATCTCTATAACCAGAAAAAGCCAGACACCTTACATATTAATGAATGAATAGGTTTTGAAATAGAATAGTTAGTCACTAGAAATAAAGTAGTATGACTGCAGAAATTCAAGAGGTGACAATTTGGCCTGGAAACAAATGCACTAGATTAACAATGAACACGATTTCAAATGATATAGTTAACCCATGCAAACCATAGTGTTGCATGCAAATTTGGGGTTATAGCAGTTTAGCTTAAATTGATTTCTCTGTGACTTAATATAAACCCAGTTTCAATGAACTGGAGTATTCATGAAGACTGTTGTCCTAGTTCAGCTAAATCAGCTTAGTATTAAGCCTTTAGTTAAAACAATGCAGTAAAATTTCAATGCCAACTTTTCTCTGCTTTAGTTTCTTTCTTTGCCTTCATTGGGAGGTATTAGTTTCAACATCAATGTGTTGCTTCTTAATGTTAGAACCACCACCTAGTAAATGTCCTTGTTCAGGGCAGCTGAAATACAATAATATATTGCATTTATTCAGTGACTACCAGAATTCTAAAGTGTTCACATAAATGGATAAAGTAGATTACCCTCTTGTTACAGAAAAAGAAGCTGGCACAAATTTAATTCAGTGAGGCTCCACTGGGATGATACACTATACAAAAACTGTCAGAATGCAAAAAAGAAAAAAACCCCTAGATCTCAGAAGCAGAAACAATCTGCCGTGTTTAGTATTTGATTTCCATGAGCATTGCTGGTTTTGATTATTCCGGGCAAGTGGTTGTGTAGCATAATGCTATTTTCTTTTTGTTTCTCCCACTACACCGTTTTCCCCTAAGCAAGTTTTTTTTATGGAGGAGTCTCCTGTAATTAGCCATAATTTGAGGAAATATACTTTCACACATTTTGGACACTGCAGCAGAAAGCATTGCTCTGTCTCCATCTCTCTTTGCAACAATGGTTGTATATTTGCCCTTCTCTGGAGCTGGAGCATGTTTTGTGTCTCAGTTTCCACTTTAGCTTATAGAGGACCTGTTTACCTATCAAATCACATGGGTTTATTTAAAATCAGTGTGGAAGCACAGCATCAGGCTGTGTCTTTATTACAAGCAGATATTTTTTTAAGTAGTCTGGTATAAAATCCTAAACCAAGACACTTTTTTTGCTTCAACACAGCTTCAGCTTTTCAAGGACAGTCTTACAGCCCCAGCCTAGGTTTTACCTTACTTATCTACAACTTGAGGACTCTCTGAGCATTGGCTGTATTAGGATTGTACACAGATATAACAATCTCAAGAATGCTACATGACTTAAATAAAACCAAATACCCATGTTTGATAGCGAGGACAGTCTTGAACAGGAACAACTTTGGGTTTGATGAGAATTGACCTTGGTTTGGTATATATGAGTCATATATGAGGCATATATGAGTCAGATGAGCCTGTTCATCTGCTACTATGGAAAAGAAATGTAATAGCTTGCTAAAGTGATATATTCATAGATTCAAAGTGATATATTCTATGAATCTACTAATATATCACTTTAGCAAGCTATTACATTTCTTTTCCATAGTAGCAAATGAACAGGCTCATCGGGCTTCCTTGCCATGTAGAGGGTACCTTATGATGGTCATGATGCCAAAAAGTTAAGGAGCATCCTATCTGGCAAAGGGCATAAAGATGATGTGTGTGGACTAGGAGCATTTCAATTTTAAAACTAAAATGTCTGTCAAAGGGTTTATTTTATTAATTATAAGATTTATATGATCCTGTGAAGGCTCCAAAGTTGAAATTTCATTGAGAGCATTCACAATGTTGTTGATGTCTTCCCTTTGCTGTGCAGTTTTTCTTAAAAACAGTGTGTTGATTACACTGCTTTGTAAGTCCTGCATATAAAGGCTGTATTTCATGGTAAAAACCCCATGTTTTTAGTCAGTGTATACATAAGCTAGGTGGTCCTAATGTTATTACCTGAGAGAACTCAATTAGTGCTAGCAATGGTGGGACAGGATGACAGAGGTGGTGGTAGTAGTAGTAGGGTGGCGACATGTATTGGCATATGTGCCATGGAGGTAATCCCTTTGGTTGAGGTACATTAGTAGAGCAGCATAGGAAAGCTTCACTACCATGCTTTGTCTACCCTGACAATATTAGGCAAATTTGCTGCCATCTCAATAACATTGAGACTATGACAAACGTTACACTGAAAGCTCCTGAAGGAAGGCCTCTCATTTCAATTTTGTGTACAGCAGTGGGCACAAATAAATTCGTGTTCGTGACTGGAGCTCAGGACTGGCTGTAAATATCAATTCTGCTTCACAAAAACATTGAGTTTTCAAATTTGTTTTTGCTCTAATGCACAATAAAAGCAAAACCAAGAAGACAGGACCCCAAGCCTGGACCCAAAGACATTTTTCTAGGAAAACCAGTACTTTTCCTCCAAACACATGAGTTTCAACAAAATGCCGTGTTTGGAATGGGAACATAAAAGTTTACTCAGATATGTTTGCCCAGCTCTGCCAGACCAAGTAAGGAGTATTAAATATAATCCATACCATATTTACCAAA